AGAGGGTTATGGGATCGGGTTATGGGGTGAGGTTATGGGGTGGGGTGAGTTAAGGGGTGAGGGAGGTTATGGGGTGGGGGAGTTATGGGGTCAGGTTATGGGGTGAGGTTATGGGGTGAGGTTATGGGGTCAGGTTATGGGGTCAGGTTATGGGGTGAGGTTATGGGGTGAGTTTATGGGGTGGGGGGTTATGGGATCAGGTTATGGGGTGGGGGTGTAGCGGGATCCGCTCAAACCCCACAGTTCTGACCCCTAAATTTTCCCCCCATCCCCCCCAAATCCTATAGGGGACGTCGGGCAGCGATGGACCGCATGGACCCCCGGGAGAGAGGGTGAGACATATGGGGCGGCCCTATAGGGCAGCGATCCTACAGGGGGTGGGGTCTCCCATAGGGTCGTGAGGCGACCCCATAGGGTTGTGGGGTGACCCCATATGGATGTGGGGCGCCCCATAAGTGCTCCCTCTCTCTCCCTCTCCCCATAGGGCGTACCTGGAGCTGCCGGCCCCAATGGATTCCCCGGCCCCAAAGGACCCCCGGTGAGCCCCAAATGACCCCAAAATGGCCCCAAAATGGCCCCAAATGGCCCTAAATGACCCCAAATGGCCCCAAATGACCCCAAATTGCTTCGTGTTACCCCGACCGGCCCCGAATGGTTCCGATTATCCCCGACCGTCCCCGATCCTCCCCGACCGCTCCCGAATGGTTCCGATTACCCCCGATCCTCCCCCGACCGCCCCCGAATGGTTCCGATTACCCCCGATCCTCCCCCGACCGCCCCCGAATGGTTCCGATTATTCCCGATCCTCCCCCGATCCTTCCCGACCGCTCCCGAATGGTTCCGAATAGTTCCGATTACCGCCGATCGCTCCCGACTTTCCCCGAATGCTTCCGAATATTCCCGAATGGCTCCGATCAGCCCCGATCGTCCCCAAATGACCCCGAATGTTTCCGATTATCTCCGACTGCCCCCGAATGGCTCCGATCGTTTTCCGACTGTCCCCAAATGTCCCTAAATGACCCCGATTGTCGCCGATTGTCGCCGATTGTCGCCCCTTTTCCCTCCCAGGGTCCCCCCGGCAAGGACGGAGTGCCGGGACACCCCGGGCAGCGCGGCGACGGCGTGAGTCGGTGCCCCATAGCCGCCCCATAGCCGCCCCATACCCGCCCCATAGATACCCCATAGCCACCCCATAGCCGCCCCATAGCTGCCCCATAGCTGCCCCATAGCCGCCCCATACATACCCCATAGATACCTCATAGCCGCCCCATAGC